CTGCTATTCTCACTAAGAAAGTACTAATTACCGTCATCACACTGGTGACCACAAGAGCATCAGTTATCATCATCATGTGTCCTCTTCTAATTAAGTTGAGGCTGACCCACTTCAGGACCACAATCATCTCTCATTCCTACTGTGAGCATATGGCTGTGGTGAAGCTGGCTACAGAAGATGTCAGGATCAACAAAGCATATGGACTTTTTGTGGCTTTTTCAGTCCTTGGATTTGATGTGATCTTCATTTTCTTGTCCTATGTGTTTATCTTCTAGGCTGTCTTTAAGTTGCCACAAAAGGAGGCCAGATTCAAAGCGTTCAACACATGCACAGCTCACATCTTTGTCTTTCTCCAGTTCTACATCCTCACATTTTTTACATCTTTCATACACAGATTTGGCTTTAATGTTGCTCCTTATGTTCACATTCTATTGTCAAACCTCTATCTGCTTGTGCCACCCCTGCTAAATCCTATTGTCTATGGAGTGAAGACAAAGCAGATTCGAGAGGGAGTTATCAAAATGTTTGCTTCCAAAGGTTAAATTGGCGGATTCTCCAGATACTCTTGCATTCTTTATAATGTGTTTGTCAAGCTTGCTATACAGCATAACACTGTGATAGTTTTTGTATTGATTGTATTCTCTATAAGATAGGCACACATTTATAACTAAAATTGTAAATTATAGGTAATTATATGTTCATTTAAATGCCATTTTAATTATTCTTCATTCTAATTTTTTGTCAGAGTTTTTAGTATCTTTGCAGGTGTACTTTATTCTTAAAACAAGACCAATTTTACACAATACTACCTTAAGCTTTGTGCTTTTTATTAGTTATTACTGACATCAAGTATTCTCATCTTTCTACTGCCAGATTCTAAACAATGGGTACATTTTCAAACTTAATATTTCAATTGTTAGTAAATTTCCAATTGTGTTTGTTACAATTAATAATTACATGTTTGCATATAATATGGCATAGTATATATGAAAAATCCTAATCACATTATTGTTTTTAGAATCATTATGGGTTCTATGACATATATTCTTATTTGAACTATTTTCTGAGAAAACAAAAAATTTCATTAAATATTATTTTAATCATCTTTAAATGTCTTCTTGAAGAATGACATGTCATTTTATTTTATGAAAACTTTCCATTTTTTTCATCAGTGTGCCTCAAAAGCACATAGATGCACTTTTGTGGGATAATGTTGTTTGTCTTCTCTCAATATTGGCATATATTTTAATGGTGGAACCCTTGCCTAGTATATCCGTTCTCACAATAAGACCTCTAAACCCATGATTATGAAACAAGATCTTCCTGTCTATGTGTTATCGTTTACATCTCTAAATAGCTAAAACTAGGCTCCTGATACAATATATTCACAGAAATATTCTAGTTAGGATTTCAATTGAAGTTCTTTTTTAGTATTCCAAGAGAATTGTTCCATTCCATGATCGCTTCTGGTTCAAACACATTCCTAAAAGTTTGTTCCTGGCTAGGGGTTTCCATCATGTGGGTGCTGTCTCTCTGACAAGTGAAATGTGTACCTGATTCAGTAAAACACTTTCCCATAAGGCACTTCAGCTTAGCAGGTTGTATCAAGGAGGGGAGAGGAATCTGCATTTGCTCTGTGATAATTTGGTGCATGGCAACATAAAGTCTACCTGACCGGAACTTCCTGCAACTTTGAAATCATTTTTAATATTTTCCTCTGTTTTTACTTTAAAATCACTTTGTTGCCATGAACTCACAAATAAAAACATCATGCAGCTAGATTAGCATATAAATTGTATTTTATCTTCTAAAATCCTCTTTATTTGCCTTTCTAGACTGAAGCATTGGTTATAAACACAATGCACAGTCTCCAGATAGTGTGATTGAGAACAGAGGGTCAAACTGTCACTGAATTCACATTTTAGGTTTTCTTCTTCTACAAGTTTAGGATTATGTTTACTCTAGCCTCCTGCCACCTGGTTCTGTGGACTTCATTTTAATATCATCATTCAACTTGTTTTATCACTGATCTTCCTTTGAATTTGACCTAAAAATGTGTATTATTTACCTACTTAACTTGTGCCTAGATGCAAAGTACTAAGTCAGCATATCAAAACAGCAGTGGCAACAACATTTTATAGTTGCATGAGCCACATCTGGGGAATCCAAGTGGCATTTTCTACAGCACTCACTGTAATTATTCTCTTCTTGTGCTGTAGCCGTCATGGTTGATATAAAATAGTGTTACTGTAGCTCCTCATTTTAATTTACCTGATAACAAACTGTTTGAAATTCGCATATCATCTTTACAAAAGATTTAAAATCCTTTGCTGTTCTTAGCTGAGTTTATTGACTTTTTGCTGCTTTGTCCAAAATCTACCTTATGTATTAAGAAGCAACTATATGTTCAGACATATTAATGGCACATATTTTCTTCTAGTTAATAACTTATAATTTTGTTTTCTTCATAATATCACTTTTAAATTTGGGTTCTTTTTGTTGTTGTTTTTATTTATTGTTGCTTTTGTTTTTTAAGGTAATATGCTATAATAAAATAAGATAAAACAGAAATTAATGAATCAGAATTGAACAAAACAAACAGAAGGAAAAGAGCCCAAGAAAAGGTACTAAAAACAGAAATCCACTTGTTCACACATTCAGGAATGCCATAAAAAACACTAAATTGGAATCCTTTTTATACATATGCAAAGGACCTATATGGTAAAAACAGAGAAGAAAAAATATCTAAATAAAATAAAATTAAAAAACAATAAAACATTAAAAAAAGAGTTTGACATGACATTGTGAGACAAGGGACCTCCAAAGATACCACTGAGTGTTTTTTCTGTTAGCCATCTATTGCCCAGCAATTGACAAGTAGCATCAATTGAAGATTGCTTCTGGGTTAGGAATGGGGCATGCATCCACTTCTCATTTCAGCTCTAGGTCCCCATCTGGTACAAACCAGTGCAGGCCCCATGCATGCTGCCTTGATTTCTGTGAATTCATGTGTTCTGTTCATTGAACCTGTTGATTCAGAGAACCATGTTTTGTGGAGTGCTCCATCCCTTCTGGCTCTAATACTCTTTCTGCCTCTGGGTTCCTTGAGCTCTGAGGGGAGAGATTTGATGGAGACATTCTGTTTAGGGCTGAATGTTTGAAGGTTGCTCATTCTCTGCATAATGTCTGGCTATGTTCTCACTATGCAGTCCTGGCTGTCCTGAGACTAGCTTTGTAGACCAGGTTGGCCTTGAACTTAAAAAGATCCATCTGCCTCTGCCTCCCAAGTGCTGAGATTAAAGGAATGCACCACACGCCTGCCTGTCTTTTACTTTAAAAAATTAATTCAGTCAATTTCATTAAGAACATAGGAAATACAATCTTTGAATAATCATAATTAGATGTTTTTTCTAACCTCCATTAATTAATTCTAGACACTTTAATGGACTCACTGTGTTCATGAAAACACAAGACAATTAATATTCTGTATTTGTAAGCACTGAATATTTTCTTAGCCCATTTAGTAATGGCATATGATTGTAAAGGTACTTGTTGTCTGATGATAACTTGCCACCTGAAAATTAGTTCTATCCCCCTGAACAGCAACAATTTTTTAAAAAAATATTTCATTCTTTTCTGTCTATATTATCTTCTGTCAACAGAAAGTCAGAAATAATAATAAAAATTGTCCATAACTCAGAATTTCTGGTGAAATTATCTCTTTTAATACAATGCAAGATATTTGGAAGAATTCTCCAATAACTACGTTAATGTAGGTGAAAGTGAAATTTTATTTTGTACATTAAATTTACTCACTTCTGCAAAGTTTCAGGACTCAGATGCTGCTTTTAAAATTCTGAACATTAAAATTTTCTTATAAACAATATCTACACACTTGAGCATAAATACTGGTATATTTCATACTTCCTCACAAAGGAGGTAGCAGTTGAGTGAGGACACGTGCCGCCTACTGATGTTGATGAAAAGCAAAACAGTTACATTTGTAATATTTATAAAACTCGAATCAATATCCCAGTTATATTTCCAGATCAATTCAATGCATTAAAGTTATGTTTGAGAAAAACAGAAAGATTATTATTTTCATTTGTATTTATTCATTTTGCCATAGAAAATCAAAGATTGTGGTTGATATATTGTGCACCCCAATAAACTTATCTGGGGGTCAGAGAACAGAGCAGCCACTATATTAAACATAAGTTTAGGCAGTGGTAGCACAGGCCTTTAATCCTAGCATTCAGGGGGCAGAGATTCATGTGGATCTCTGTGAGTTCAAGGCCACACTTGAGAACAGAGCCAAGTGTGGTGGCAGATGCCTTTAGTCCCAGCACTTGAGATCTCATGTCTTGCTTGGGAAAGACACACATCTTTGATCCCAGGAAGTGATGATAGGAAGCAGAAAGGTATATAAGGCATGAAGACCAGGAACTAGAGACTTTTTAAGCTTTTAGGCTTTTAGCAGCAGTTCAGGTGAGATCAATTCGGGAGAAGACTCAGAGGCTTCCAGTTTGAGGAAACAAGATCAGCTGAGAAGTTGGCAAGGTGAGGTTAGCTGTGGCTTGTTCTGTTTCTCTGATCTTTCAGCATTCACCCCAATACCTGGCTCCGGGTTTGTTTTTATTAATAAGACATTTTAAGATTCTGCTACAAAAGATTCTGGAGTCAAGTATTTTTTTTCCAAATAGAATATTATATTATTCTCAAATAGTCACAGTTTAACATTGTTTCCATATTAAAGACTAGTGGGGTCCTCCCCTCTCTCCTGTAGTGGATTCCACTAAGGAGAATGTAACACTGAACATTAATGCAGAGAGAATACATAAGGATTCAAGACCCCTAAACATTCTCCAATGCCTGTTCCTTCAGTCACTATAGCATCTTCTTGTGTAAAGATCTCTTCAAATGAAAATCCAGAGAAGTGTTAAAATTGCCCTCTTGGATTATATTTTCATCCTTTAGAACTAAACTTATGCAAGCTCCCCCTACTTCGAAGTTAAAGTGTGGACCACACGCTCACGGATCTGCTTGGTTCGCACACCATAGATTACAGGATTGAGGGCTGGTGGGATGACCACATAGAGGTTGGCAACAAGAATATGGACATAGCGAGGAATTTTTTTTCCAAATCGGTGAGTGAGGAAGGAGAAGAGGGAGGGTGTGTAAAAAACGCACATGACCCCAACATGGGAGCCACATGTGCCCAAAGCTTTGTGTCGTGCATCCTTAGAAGGGAGGCGAAAAACAGCACGGAGAATATATGCATAGGAGATTCCAACCAAAGCCACATCCAAAATAAGAAAAGAAGCCACAAAAAGCCCATAAATGGCATTGATGCGAATGCTAGCACAGGCCAACTTAGCAATGCCCATGTGTTCACAGTAGGAGTGGGTGATAACCCGGGCTTCACAGAAGGGCAGACGGTGGGTTAGGTATAGAATGGGTAACATGAGCAGGACTGGGCGCATTACAATACCCACACCAATGCCTACCAGCACCCGGGGTGTCAGAATGGTTGTGTAGCGGAGAGGCACACAAATGGCAGCATAGCGGTCAAATGCCATGGCCAGCAAGACTGCGGACTCCATTCCCGTAAAGGTGTGTATCAGAAACATCTGAGCTACACAGTTTCCAAAACCAATTTCATGTGCATCAAACCAGAAGATACCTAACATCCGAGGTACTGAGGATGTGGAGAGTGCTAGATCTATGGCTGATAAGATGGCCAGAAAGTAGAACATAGGATCTCTCAGAGTACGGTCTATCCAGATGACCAATAGAATTGTGGTATTCCCCAGCAAAGCCATTAAGTAGATACAGCAAAAAGGCATGGAAATCCATCCATGGAAATTCTCAAGTCCAGGAATGCCTACAAGATAAAAGGTGTCTGGGTGGAAAGTGGAAAAGTTGGTGTGGAGCATCTTGCCATTGATGTTGGAGAAGTAGTAACTCTAGAAGAAAAACTAGAGTTTAGACATGCTTAGCTTACAAAATCTCTGTGAACATTTTTTTCTAAATTCACATAACTTTTATTACAGTATGTTATCATCTGCATTTTATTAATAGTTAATTATTAATTTTGCTAGTCTATAAGTTAAATGATATTACAAATATACAAATATAGGAAACAACAGAGACTAATAAACTTTTGGTTCTATTTGTTGTTTCAGGCATCCACTGCTGTCTTGGAAAAGATTTCTTGCAGATGATGGAGGATGATTGTGTCCATAAATTACCTGCTTTGCAATCCTTTATGTTAAAGCTAAAACATTGTTGAATTGGGCATAGGTTACACTGTGCAATTTGTGGTTTGATTTTGACTTAAAAGTTAAAAGTTGCCCTGCCCTTTTAATTCTATGGCCACCCTATAAGCATCCTTTGTTCAATTGGGGTTTTATGGTAGAGTTTGTTGTTTGATGGTTTTGGTTTGGTTTAGATTGCTTACTTGTTAATCTGAGTGTAATTTGACTATTCTTATGCACCACAGACATATTTTTCAATGGCAATGCAATTAATAATTGAAATATAACTATTATTTTTTATTTTATTATTATTAAGATTTCCATTTGTAGACTCATTGTTCATAGCACATATTACAGGAGAAGACTTTCACTCCAGTACATATTGTAAACTGAGAATATTGTCCCACAACATTTCCATACTCTCTTTTCTCACCCCAATCCTCTCACTGTTCTCTTTGCTTTTGTTTCATTCTGATGTTATGTGTGTCAAAATGTGAGTCCAAAATCCAGTATATGCCTGAACTGAGACTTCTCAAATGGAAAAGACATCATTTATAACATGTTCTTACCCAAGGTTTCAGACATTAATTTACTATTTCACAAAACCTGAAGTTTAATTTAAAATATATGAAGTTTGTGTTTATATTGCAATCTCAGTCCTCTCTCTATGATAAAAATGCTTTAGATTCTCACATCAAAATAATCACAGAAAGTCTGACATAATCATTGCATAAAGAATCTGCAGTATATGTAAGATATAGGTGTGACTACACACACGGAAGAACAGAAAATCTAGTGAGTTCTGAAAACTGGTTTGTTCAGTACCAACAATGGTACATATTTAGAGAATTAGTCCCTAATGAAGACTCGTGTTTCACTAATTCATCCTCCCAGTATTACTCACATATGCCCACAAAGAGTTGAGCCTGAAGTAGTGCCACAAACCTGTGAACCACGGCAGCTCAGAATCATCTCATCTATGGGAGTAAACATACAGCCTGGTTGCAATCGGTCTAAGACGGGCCACAAACAGTATTTTGTGAAATTCCAAGAAATAGACCAGGATATCCTGCAGTTTTTCTCTTCACTGTGTGTGGGCAGAAGGGTTTGCCCACATGGAGACAGCAGGAAGAAGCAGGCACAGGGAAGTAAAGCTGGTCAACACCAGGCTGAAGAAACCCCTGCTGTGCTTTGGAACACCTCCGCTATATTCTTTCCTCCCCTCTTTCTTCCTCTTCCTCTTCTTCCCCCATTCCTCTTTCTCCCTCCTTGAATCCCTATCTCCCACTCCCTCTACCTTTCAGAAAGAAGAGCTATATAAGACTAAAATTAAAAAGTAGATGAGATAGAGGGGTGTAGAAACAAGCAGAAAGTGAAAGTTTAGAAGAAAAGAGATGAGACCGAGGGAGAGAGGGAGAGAAAAAGTAGCTCTAAAGGTATCTATAGAAAGGAGAGCAAAGTTCAGTCTTGAGAATAATTTGTTACTGTTTTTTTTTTTTTTTTTTAATTTTCCTTCTGGTAAATTCTTCATGCAACATCTTTCTGGAATCTCTGCATCTCCTCCCCCAGTCCTCTAAGGTAATCATCTTCATAAGTCTGCATTTGACACTAGTTCTCTGAAAGCCTGATAATTGTTTCTATTCTTGAAGGGGAAATCCATAAGCTAATAAACAATCATCTCTAGGAGTGGATATTGCCATATATCACTAAGAGTGGATGCCATCATTTATATCATTCATTAAATTCCCTCCGCAAATGGCAACTTTGAAAATACAAGTGCCCCAAACTGTTCCAGTAAAGATAGGAGGAAGGATTTCTCTGTAACATGAAACAGAGACTGTCAGATTACTAAATTCAGCTAAACAGTAGTCTAATCAACATCCTGTCTATGGCATGTTCCATGGGAAGCTCACCTCCAGCTGGGGTGGGTCTAGAGACCTTTTGTATATCTACTAAAAGGATGAGATCTTTATAATATCACTATGTAGGGTCCCTGGGGGCTGTCTAAAGTTAAAGTCAGTTCAAATCTATTTCATCTCTCAGGATTAACACCTCAGTGCCTCTTGGGAAAGATTGCATTTTCTTCATCAGGGACAGGTAGACTGGTGCTGAGTGGAAAGTCTTCTCATCTACTTCTCCCCAAAACCATTAAAGCTTGGAATTGAGAGGTACAATGAACTGTCACATGGAGAATCTATGTGAGGAGAACAGACTTCCTGGGAAAGTTTTAATTCTCATTTTCTGAGAAATCATAATTATGTCATTAATCATTAACAACTCACATGCTTGTCTCCCTTCCCACATCTGTGTCTTAACACTCACCAACATTCACAAAGACATCCTGGATTCCAAATCACATAAGGCCTCATTTCTTCTCCAGCAAGGCTAAACTTACTGACTTAAACATAAGATAATACAAACTAAATTTAAATAGCAAAGTACAATTATAAAGAAAGGAAAGGTGTAGCATTGTTCAAGACTTACAGTGTAACAAATCAAATTGTGTGTCTCAACCTCATAAATAATAAATGCATGGTAGTGTGGTGATACACTCTATAATCCCAGCACTCAGGATATTGAAGCAAGAAGTTCATGAGTTTAAAACTAGTTTTAGCTACATAGTGAGGCCTTGTCTAAAAGAAAGGATGGAAGGAAAGAAGGGGAAAATTATTAATTGTACAAAAAAATCAAATATGTTTATAGAGAGAGAGAGAGAAAGAAAGGAAAGAAAAAGGAGAAGTGTAGGAAGCCTGTGTTAATATAATTAATTTTTTCTGTTTTATTAAAAATATGATCATTTCTCATACAGTAGAGCCTGACTACAGTTGCCCCTCCCTCTACTCCTCCTCCCTGTTCCTTCCCCACTTCCCCTCCCATCCAGATCCACTTCCTCTCTGTCTCACATTAGAAAATAACAGCCTTCTAAGATATAACAACAAAATAACAAAATAAAATATAATAAGATAAAACAAAAGCATCACATCAAATTTGGACAAGGCAACCCAACAGAAGGAAAGGATTTCCCAAGAGAAGGCACATGAATCAGAGACCCACTTGTTCACACACTCAGGGGTGCCATAAAAACACTAAACTGAAAGCTATATACACAGAGACCCTGATACAAACCCATGTAGGCCCTGTGCTTGATGCTTCAGTCTCTGTGACTTTGTATGATCTTTACACAGTTGAATCAGATGGCCTTGTTTTCCTGGTGTCTTTCATCTCCAGTGGCCCTTACAATCTGTCTACCTCCTCTTTTGCTGGGTTCCCCGAGTTTATTTTCTTGTGAGTGTGTGTGTGTGTGTGTGTGTGTGTGTTTCAAAGAAAAAAATTTTATTCATTTTACATACCAAAAATTCCCCTCTTCCCTCCTCTCACCCCTCCAGCCTCCCCTTCCCTAAACACCCTCAATTCCCTCCTACAAGAAGGTAAGGCCTCCTATGGGGAGGTCCATTTAGTAGAGCAGGTCCAAGCCCTTCCCCTTGCCTCAAGGCTGCACAAGGTGTCCCATCATAGAAGTAGGCTCCAAAAGGCCTGCTCATGCACTAAGGATGGATTCTGATCCTACTGCCAGGGGGCCCCTTAATCAGATCATGCAACACAACTGTCTCACTGTGCAGAGGACCTAGTCCAGTCCCATGCAGGCTTCACAGCTGTTGATCTAAATTTCATAAGTTCACACTAGCTTGGTTTGGTTGTCTCTGTAGGTTTCCCCATCATGATCTTAATGCCTTTGCTCATAGAATCCCTCTTCCCTCTTTTCAACTGTTTTCCTGGAGCTTGGCCTGGTGTTTGGCTGTGGATCTCTGCATCTGCTTCCTTCAGTTACTGGAAAAAGGCTCTATGATGACAGTTAGGGTATTCACAAATCTGATTACTGGGGTAAGTCAGTTCAGGTACCCTCTCCACTACTGCTAGTAGTCTAAGCTGGGGTCATCCTTGTGGATTCCTGGGAACTTACCTGGCACCCAGTTTCTCCCTATCCCCATGATGTCTCCCTGTCATGGTATCTCTTTCCTTGCTCTCTCACTCCATCCCTTGTTCCAGTTTGACCATCCTGTTCCCTTATGCTCTCATGCCCCATCCCCTACCCTTCATTGCCCACCCTTTATCTCCAGTTTACTAATGGAGATCTCATCTATTTCCCCTTTCCAGGGTAATCCATTCATCCTTCTTTGGGACCTCCTTGTTAGCTAACTTCCCTGGAGCTGTGGATTGTAGTCTGGTTATCCTTTGCTTTACATCTAGTATCCACTTATGAGTGAGTACATACCATGTTTGTCCTTCTGAGTCTGTGTTACCTCACTCAGGGTGATATTTTCTAGGCAATTGACAGCAAACCAACAGCCAATATCAAATTAAATGGAGAGAAACTCAAAGCGATTCCACTAAAATCAGGAACAAGACACGGCTGTCCACTCTCCCCATATTTATTCAACATAGTACTTGAAGTTTTAGCTAGAGCAATAAGACAACAAAAGGGGATCAAGGGGATACAAATTAGAAAGGAAGAAGTCAAACTTTTACTATTTGCAGATGATATGATAGTCTACATAAGTGACCCCCAAAATTCTACCAGGGAACTCCTACAGCTGATAAACACATTCAGTAATGTGGCAGGATTCAAGATTAACTCAAAAGAAATTAGAGAAACATCACCCTTTACAATAGCCACAAATAATATAAAATACCTTGGGGGGAACTCTAACTAAGCAAGTAAAAGACCTGTATGATGAGAACTTTAAGTCTCTAAAGAGTTTATTTTCTTTGATGG